ATATATATGTATATGTGGCACACACACACACATCCTTGTACTTATTGAATTTCATTCATATTTGTAACTGCATTCATGTCTAAGCCAGTCATTTTCCCATAACCCTAACCATTACTGGTCTATGACAAACTAACATAATTCACACCATATTTCTAAACCTAGCTAGTAGAGTGCAGTAGAGCTGCAAAAAAAAGGGAAGACAGGGAAAGGGTCCTCACTTTACACCAAACACCTCACTTTGATAGTAACTATTTTGCAAGTGACCCTCACTCTCTAGCAGAAACAAGTACACATGTGCACACACACACACACACACACAGTCAGAGGCCCAGGAATACGCGGCCATCTGCTCTTATGTAATCTGTATTTTTCCAGTTTGGAAGCTGGAATAAATGAAAGCATCTGATACTCCTTAAAACTGCAGTCGTCTGCCAGTTTAATCTCGTTTTTACAGCATCATTCTTACAGACTGACATCATGTTTGTGTTTGGGAGTGCGCCGCCTCGTGTGCGCTCCGTTTCTGTGTCGTCATCATGTTTTGGTTGCTGGGTGCCAGCTTCACGTCTGCTCCGTAATTGCCTCATAAAGACATTTTTATGTGGGAATTGAAAATGCAGAATCTGGTAGCTGCATTACAGAGACAGGGCTCATCTTCTTTATGGGTCAGTTTTTAAGCATCAAATTACAGTTGATCATTTTTAGCTTTTTTTTTTTTTGTTTATTTTATTGGAACTTTATTTTGAAAGTACTTTAAAAATTGTGATTTTTTTAAAGGCCAGGCTTGCTTAAAAATTTCATTGTGYGTTACAGTGAACTGGCTGTAGCTGCTACTTTTTTTAACCTTCTTTCTTTGTTATCAGTTAAATATGCTAAGTCATAGATGATTGCTGTTCTTTCTTCATTTATATTTTTTTAAGTGGGAAATATTGTCATCCTATTAATTCGTTGATACCTCCAATTAAAACTGAGCCAGTGACTGAGCAGGAGTTGGGCATTTTGGCCATATTGCAAGCTGAATTTTAGTCCAAGGAAGGGAATTTTAGTCTCCAAAGTTAACATATTGAGGTGGTCTACAACTGTCACCACAGAGATGGAGGAGCATTAAATACTGTAGACCACCAAGACCACCAACTAACTATTCTTCAACATAATAAATAACCTGATTGACTTGTGTCTGTATTTGTTATGGGTGTATTCTGAGGCATGTTGATCAAAGCAAAATTAATGACTGGGGTGCAGATCTGCCCTTTCTATGTCTAATGTCACATGATGGTTGCAAAATGCACCAACATGCTATAATCAAGTTCAGCATTAGTTACACTAATGTTGCAGATAAGCTCTGAATAAGTCAAAAATATGCCTGTATATGTTCTGTATTTGTTAGGGACAAGCTATGGAAGGTTATATATTGGTTCAACTTGTTAACAATACATATCTATACATCCAAAAGAAGTTTCCAGTTAATTTTTAATTCCATCCTCAGTGTGTTGGACATAATTTTCATACATCAGCGTAGGTTGTCTGACATGTTATCGTGTGACAGGGCCCTCCGAAAGGTCTGTTCCACTTCTCRGTTTGTCCAGGAGGGATGAGTCACCCTCAGC